CCCCAAAACCCCAAAACCCCAAAACCCCTTTTTAATAAAAAATTTCTAAATATGAGAAATTTCCTCACCCCTTCTCCAACAAGAAGTCACCCAATTCTCAAACCTTGCGGTAGGACAAAGTCTTAATTATAGATGTTCAATTGAATATCAATAAGCTTGAGGATGAATTAGACCAGATGGTTTATAAAACCCTTCGCTATTGTATGTCCCCTTATGGTTCCAGAAAGGATGCTCAAAGCTATCATAATTTCACATCTCCAATTTTTCCAGTAAGATTTGTCTAAAGCTTTGCTTTAGACAAATCTCCACTCAAAAATACACACCCAAAGCAAATCAAGGATTGATCATAGCAATAGCTGGCAAAGAAATATTGGAAGGAGAATAGGTTCTCCTGTATGCACAAATTCCTTTTTCTCACCACCAAGACCATCTGTACCGCTCCAGGCAGTAGACACTGCCAGGAGCATTTTACAGAGGCTTAAAGTTGTATATAAAGGATATAGAAGCATTAAGAATACGAATCCGACTCCTATATAGTTCCTTCTTACAATAAAAATTTCCTATACCTCAAAAGTATGCTCATTAGATTAATATTACAGGGAAACAAATAGTCCCAGGCAGCAATGCAAGGTAACAGAACAGAACAAATAAACTCCTTGATATCCTGAACAAGAACAAAAGGTACCTGTTCTGTTCTTCCCGAACAAATTTGACTTAATCTAGTTGGCTCTACTTTGTAATAGAGCTTTGGGCCTTCTTGGGGTGGGGTTATAGTGACATAGGTGGCACCAGAGGGTTGGGCAGAGTAAGTAATTCTTCAAATACCTCAAATTTTAAAACCTTACTTGCCTCCAAAGCTGACTTCTCGAATTTCTAACCTTGCTTAGTTAAATCATTTAAATGAGCTCCAGTCAAGCGTAACAATTCGAATGCCAAGCTGGATAACACAGCTTTTCAAGACTCTTTTACCCCAGTTTCGAAAGTATACTCTTTTGAGTGAGGTATAGAAACCAATCAGACAACAGGCTAGTTTTAGATTTGGTAATGATTTGGACAGACATTTTAAATTCGTGAATCCTATGAAAGAAACACTAGTTAACAGAAATTTCACAAAATCTGGTAAAAACCAACACCCGTATAAGAAATGTTTCCCTCAGAGCTTCGGGAAGCAATATATCCAAAAATTCCTCTTAAAATCTCGTAATCCCTTACTTAACCCACAGCAAACACTCAAGAATCAATCAACACCGATGAAACCATTTACCGTGCTACCTCTCCTCGCTCCAACGTAATCCTCCTCTTCACCCCTAGCCAAAATCCTTCCCTCGTAAAAGCCTCAAACTAAGCCTCAACCTGAACCTAACCACCCCAACCCTTCTCAACATGCCTTCGAAGACTCCTCTCAAGCCCAAGGCTACTTCTTCCTTCTTCAGCAGTATGCTTCCTCTCACTTCTAGAACTGCCCTTAAATCCCAGTGCCTCAAGCGATACGGAAATGTCTTGTGCTTAAAAATCTACACAGACCACACTAGCTCTTCCCAAGACCAAAGCCATTCAACAGAAAAACCAAAAAATTCCAAAATTTAGTTTGTAGGGGTTAACGATTTTTAAAAATTTTGAAATTTGTTCTAGATTTCTGAAGAAATAAGTCAAGTTGAATTTTAATATGGTGGATTTTGAGGAGTGGGAATTAGTGTTTTGGTCAAGGGGAAAATGGAGGTTGGATAGAAAGATAGGAATATTTTCAATGGGACAGAAGGAAGTTGGGGTTTTGGGGTTTTGGGGTTTTGGGGTTTTGGGG